TAGAAAAAAATAAAATATTTTAATATTCGGGATTTCTATAATCGCTTAGTTAATATTTATTTCTCTAAAACTTACTCACTGGTACTCCCTCCTCTTCTTCTTTTCCCGCAGGGCGACGTCTCCTTAAAGCGAGTCGTCCTACCGGCCGACCCCCGCGATGCGGTATCGCACGCCCCACAATACTGCCGGCTTCTATGAAATAAATATTATAATTTAATTATAATATTTATTAATTATAAAGTCAGCTTTTCTAATATGTATTAGGTTCTATTTTTTAAAATTATTAGTGCTTATCTTAGTTTAATGCAACGCTTGAAGTCAGCTCTGTGACTTCCAGCGTTATCCTCCTCGTGGACCAAAGCACTCACGTATTTCGAGATGATCTGCGATTATATTTTTTAATCTCACGTCATCACCGCAATGCCCCAGTTTGTGCATAACACACACTGGTGTACTGGAGCACTCACCAATAAATTTCCCGAAAACGGAATAATTTTTCTCATCGTTATCTGACAACTTTGTCAGATAATCGCCAGCAACTAATTTTTTATTTAAGTTGCTAGCTACGATGAAAAATTTCCCTAGCAACCCGCGAAGTTCCATTGTTAATCAAATTAAAAACACGTAAATAGTAAAATTCACTTCGGAGTTTGAAGGTAGGACTAAACTTTAGCTCGATCAGGGCGTGCTATTTATGCCTGTAGCGATTCATAAAAATTCCTCTCCTACGAAAAGACTCGATAAAAATTCCTAGTCCCTTTATAGGCCGATAGATTTTTGACGATTTTGTATTCGAACGATCCTTTACTAGAAGTGATATTTTCTCATAAAATTTAGAGAAGTGGGGATGACAAAAACTTTTAAGCTATGCCCATCCCTATAATCAGTCTAACAGCTTTTCTTGTCTCATACAAATTATCACGAAAAGCATCTCTCTCTTCGCTTTCATCTTCTGTTTTTGTATCTTCTTACTGGAAAAGATTCTCACACAATATTAGTCTACGACTGATAAACATTAAAACCTTTCAGAAAAAAACAAAAAAACAATTTTAATGGCTCGATTTATCTTGTTCTCACCCCCTCTCTTGACTTCTACGGGGTAAAGATTATTTTAAATTTTTAAGAAAAATTTTAAGAAAGTTTATGTTTTTATTTTTTTCATCTGCGCGCGCAGAATAATTTTATTACGTAGCGTCGAAGAGGGTGAGGAAGTCGACGGTACTAAAGAAAATCCGTTTCAATCGAGTCTCGTCGTCCGTAGCTTCAGCCTCGCGAGCAAACAAGTACTGTGCTTCTTGTGTTTTTATTCATCATCTTAGTTTGTTGAATTTGGTATTACTACGTCATAAGAACAATGGCCTATCCAAAAAATACTAATAATTCTGACATGAGCATGTACTCCATCTCTGATTCTTACAAGCTACGTAACGATATCGACGAGAAAAGAAACGCTCGACTTCATATGTTGTTAGCAACATCATATGGCCTTAACAATTCTCATACGAAGACGATTCACATAGGATTGCAAAGAACGAACGAAGAAATCTTCAAACCTGTTGTAAAATTAGGCGGACATAACGCAGACGGAATTTATTTTGAAGTCCCAAGAATCCAAATCAGTTTATTGCACAGTTTGTACTACTTTGCGCTACTTTATTTGTTATGTACAAGATAGATCAAAGATACGAGACATTTTTCTGCAATATTGATGAAATGTAGACAATGTCGATACGACTAGGTACATTATGTTTTATATTTTGATATAATCAAAATCAATCATTTAACGTTTCTAAATTCTAATTAAAGTTTCCTTTATTTCGCTGGCTTGGCAGCGTAAGTTCCAATGATGAAAGAACCATAACACATTACAGATAATATTTTTTTTAATTTTCATGTCGTATGAAACCTGTCGGTTCCTGCCTTAAAAACATGTACCTTCCGATTTGTATTAATGATGTGTTGCTGCATAATCCTATAGATTTTTAATGATATTTTACTTTTAGTGAGAAATCTGACGCTCTGTTTCAATTACTTACATACTGCAACAAGATAATATGGTGCTGTAATTAGACAATGGCAGCCAGCTACATCATTGACCATTTCGCGGAAGAAGGTTTGCATTCCATTGTGCAGAACTACGAGAGTCGTTTAAAAAGTTTTCAGTCTAACACAGAAACAAGTATTTTTTTCGTTAGAATCTTTTATTTTTTTACGTAGTCTTCTTTTAAATCGATACTTTTTCCATATTCCCATTCCTTTAACTCGTTCAAATAATAGGAGTAGTTTGCGTCTTGCTCTGCAAAACAGTTTTTTACGAATGTGATGATCTCCTCGTTCGATGAAAATCTCTGTTCTGTGAGCCAAATTTTAAACTTAAGAAACAGAAAAATATCACTAAGAGCCAGATCTCAAATACCGTAGGTAGGTGATCAATCATTTCGAACCGCAATTCGAAATGAATTTTTGCCATAGCGACCGTCGATGTGTTTTCGGTTCAAAGTGAGCAAGCGCGGCACCCAACCCAAATAAAGAATAAAGTAAATTGTTTATTTCAAAAAATTATAGAACTAAAAAAAGTAGTAATTAAATAATGTATATTAATTTAAAATTAGAGATAATTTAAAATGGCTTTACTTGGACGCACAAAAGTTATTCCTACAGAGTAACTTTTGTGCGCTCCAGAAAATTAGCTTCTAAAATCAGAAACACATGCAATACTCGCTTGCTTATATCAGAATGTAATGTATTCATTGAATATAAAACAACTAATTGTTGTATGTATATTCAATACTACTACAAATAAAGCTTTTTTTATAAGAATTTTGTTCTAATTTTGTATTCTCGCTGTATATATACAGGGTGCCCTGGAAATTTTTCGCTTTTGTGTATATAGATAGAGCGGACTAAACTGAGCCGAAATGTTCTATTTTGCAATTTTTGCAATAGTTAACAAGGTAATAATTACAAAAAATTAATAAATATTGATCTTGAATATTTTCTTACTCAAATTAACTATCAACTTTATAGAAAACTGCAAGAGATAAATATCATACATTTTCTTCTTATAAAATTCTGAGAACTTTTTTCACAATTTTTTCAGAATTTTTTAACATCATATGTTTTCCTGTTGGTAAAAATAAGGAAATGCAATACTAAAAAGTTGATAAAAAA